TTTTATTCAAATAAAATATGCAATCCAAAAGATTTTTAAAGTCACACCTGGTGGCACATGCCTGCAATCCCAGCACTTGACTTAGGCAAAAATGCTGAATGTTATGCAAGTTCAAAGTAAGCCTGAACTATCTACCACGATCCTTTCTTAAAAAAAAAAAAAAAAAAAATCCCAGAAAATTTCTAATACAAGCTCTCTGCATGAAGTTAGTAACTACTATGTTATTTACAATAACAAAATCTGACAACAATACACACAGTGAGGAGGGATCTAAATAGGCTTAAGTATGTTCATTTGAAAGTAAAGTGAAGACCATAATCCTAGTAACTACAGAGACTTCGTAGCAATGTGAGAAAGTATTTGCACTTAGATGTAAACTTAGTGAAAAAGTACAGCATAAAATGAAAGAAGCACTATACTTACAAAAAATAAGGAAAAATAAATAATGAACAGATCTGGGTCCTTGAATCATACAATTTTCAGTAACTTTCCTTATGTATGACATTTAAGAAACCATAAATAAAGGTATCCGGTGGGGGTGGGCCTGCAGGGGGAGATGCATGGAGAGGCTGTGTGTAGGAAAGGGCCTGGGGCACTGTCCACACAGGGCCCACACAGCAGGGAAGAAGGCCTAAGTCTCAACTCTTCCTGAATAGACACTGGGCATGGCTGTCTTTGTGGGGACTTTACACTGAATACATTTAACAACACTTTGAAAATGACTGTCGTTTTTCTTAGCTCTGGTCTTTGGAAAAGGATATGTCTTTTCACATTGAAATGAGACTCTCTGACACTTTTACTTCATCTTCCCCCCCACCCCCTTAAGGTCACACCATGGAGTTCAGGCTGGCCTTGAACTCACTATGTAGTCAAGGCTGGCCTTAAACTTGAGGTGATCCTCCTGCCTCAGTTTCCCAAGTGATGAGACTACAGGCAATGGCCTCCATGTCCGGCTGTCATTCTTACCAGAAGCATGCTTGTGGAGATGTCATGGCTTCTATTCAGATGTCTCACAAAAGCCTCATGTGCTCGAAGGTGGGGCGTTGGGAAGGTGGCTGGATCGCGGGGGTTTAGATTTGGCTACTGACGAGTTTAGAGTTAAATGTTATATGGGAGGGGGAGCAGAGTCAGAAGTTGTCATGTGGGTGTGGCCGGAGGGAGGGGCTCCCTCCCTCCTCCCTCGTTCCTTCTCTCTGCATCATGTTGTCACGCCATGGACTGTTATCTTCTGCCACGTCCTTCTTCCATGACTCCCTACCTTGGAGCCAACTGATTATGGGCTGAAACCTCTACAAACCTAAGGCCAAATGAACCTCTGCTACTCAGAGTTTCAGTGTTGGGATTCTGTCCCAGTGATGAAAGTGACTAAGGCAGAAAGAGTGTAGATGACTCTGAACCACATACTCAGGCTTACTGCATATCCCTTGTCATAAATGCAGTGAATCAAATCCATCTTTATCCAGAATTAGTAGTTGTGGTACCCTGGTATTGTACATTCACAGGAATAATGAAATTATTCAGAGCAGAAACTAAGACCAACCTGTGGGGAGGTCACAGGAATGAAACTTAGTGAAGTCTGTGATGACTAGGAGACGGGAGAGCTTTGACATGGGTGTGATTTTTACCTTAAATGGCCAATGGAGGAGATTCTCTTCATCTGCACTGGTACTGGATGGGCTCCATCAGGAGGCCTGATGGCAGCACTGTCAGTCATGGGAAGGCCCCCCCACCCCCGCCCCCCAGTGATGTGAAACTTGGCACCTCTCCATGAAACTTCCTCCTGGTGGTTCAGAGGTGCATTTATCTGTGATTCGCAGGACCCCCTCACAGTTATGGGAGACATTAAGTTCACCTGTGTCTTCTAGTGCTGCTATTTGCTCAGTTTATACTTTTACACGGTCAGACCTATTATTTCCCATAGATGCTTGGGGTACATTAAACCAAGCAAATTCTATAAGCATATTTAATAAATGTGGCTTCAGCTACCCTGTTTTATATTGATGCTTGGAATCCAATGGATTCATCTTTTTATTATTCATCTCTGGTAATGATATGAGTGATGGTTTTAAAGGGAAATAAAATTTAAAGATTGGGAGTACCTGAACTCTACTTCTGGTTAATTAACTACCAAGGCTGAACTTGGTAGTTTGGAACAAGTGACCTTACAGTGGCCAGAATCTTATGCTATGCAGATTTTAATAACTTAAATCACACTTGTGCTCCTGAATCTGACTTTACGGAACAAGCAAGCCCACTGAGCTACACATAGATGTTATTACTTCCAGGTGTTATGGGGACTATTTTTTTTTTTTCATTTTAATAAGAAAAAAAGAGCAATGAAACAGTTTGAAAACAAGTTAGTTTGGGGGCCGGGGAGATGGCTCAGTAGGATAAGCACTTGACTGGCAAACTCAAGGATCTGAGTTCAATCCCTGGTTCTGCAAAAAAAAAAAAGAAAAAGAAAAGAAAACAGGTTAGTTAGTAGGATAGTTACAATAATTAACATATTGCATGTTATTGTCTTCATATTAGTTATTCAGAGGACAAGATGCAGACATGATATTTTGTCTAAACAACATTAGTACAAACCTTCTCA